ACCAAGCTGATATTCAGTGTTTGGGGAGTAATTTTGAGATTTGGCTTATATCAGCTAAAATGTTAAATTTAAAATTATTAGAAATTACATAATTATTTGTAAACGATGCAACTGTCACAACTACGCTGTATTAAATGCATGAAAACGAAGAAGGTTTATAAAGTCTTTAATCCAACACACACGGTAATCCAAGACAAAGGGTAGCATAAACCAGACGTTGACAAGACCGGACCAATTGGAACTGAACTCACAGGAACTTAAATACACAGACCAAACAAGGATAATTAACTACACACACCTGAACAGAATGACACAATTAACTCAATGAAGGGGAACGTGCATGAAGAAAACAAAGTCCAAACTGAATGACATGAGACAGCAACACCTTTTTCAGTCAAGATCAAAATCAATTATATTTGCAGTGCAAATATTGGGAATGCAAATTATATTTAGGCTCTAAATTATGAAAACATTGAAGTACTATAAACACCCTTATTAATATTAATTAAAAATAATATTCAATTTTAATTAATATTAATTTAAAAAATCATAATAAATGATAACATTTTCCTACATGTGGCATTTTTGATAAGTTGAACATGTAATATCCCATACCAGGATATCAGGAAACATGTGGTGACATCAAAGAGCCACTGAATCAGTTCATTTGAAACAAACTGTTCAAAAGGACCAATTAGCAGAAATGAATCAGACTTCCCATTACTATTTTTGAATCTAAATCACGGAGCACAGTCTGCCAATGCAGAACCATTTTAAACACCCATCTGTTGTCCAGAACTATATCTCGTTCCTTCTTTCTCTTTGTTTTCTGTATGAATTGGCAGTCATCTTTACTAGGGTTGGGTACCAAAACCCGGTACCAATATGGCACCGGTACCTATGTAACCGGTATGTACTAGAACCGAATCCGAACGCAGATTTCGGTGCCATGCCTGAGCGATCGATAGAAATATTTGTCCTCTGGTTCTCCGAAACGGACGTAAGAAGTATCATCACTGGCACCGCACATGAAAAATAATTTCCCAACTGAGAAAATGCACGTGAACTCAAGTCGGAAAGCTCTAATAATACAAATCCAACACATCTTTGTAGTAACGCGAGTGTCCATGTTGTTTTCACATTCCGACTTAAAAGCAC